CWTMAWMAACAAGGAACAGAAAAACACAAGAACACCTTATTCATAYAATATTAATTTTAATGAAAATTGTATTTGACTGTTACACGATACATACGTCCCTTTTTATAGTTCCCAGTAATACTGTATATTTGAAAAAAGTGAAGAAAGTGAGAAAGCATTTTAGATTGTAGATATGTTGATACCTAAAGAAACACACTCGACAATATACAAACGAGAACATTGTGAATGTCTACGTGATAGGTTAAGAACTGACACGCCACRTGTATGGTCCTGGAGTCTCATCATCAACACAAAAAAAGTGAAGGCTTTATCTTATCTATACATATAAGATGCCAACAACCACACTCGTATCCAGTTCCTAATCATTTCAATTTCACTTTTCAATGCGGACCTTATTCCTATAGGATTGTTACAGCTTTTCATCGAAGCTCTATAATCTTTAACATTTCAGCCTTCAATTTATGTCCACTTTCATAGAAAAAAGAGTGTTCAGGAAAAGATCGATATTGAAAGTTATAATAAAGTAACATAGTCCTTACTTTTGTTTTCACAATTTCTTCCATAATGATTGACGGCAGCACATGAACATGTGTAGGTTCCTCCTCCATCTTTCAAGATGCACTTACCACCATTTTGGCAAGGGTCGGACAAACAAGCGGTCTGCAAGCAAAGTCAAATATATCTAAAYCCAAAACTTCATATATGCACAGAATATGGTAGTACTGATTTGGCTGATAGTCAGTAACAGATGGAATTTTTTTTCATGGAACTGATTTTGGTTAATGTGCATTATTGTCGAACACAAGCCTTATGAAAAAAGCCAACTTAAAGTGCACCTAAACCCTGAAAAATGACATGTTTTAAACTGATTTAAAATTTTGGAGGTTTGTTAGAACTTTGGCGAAAAATGACATGTTTTTATTGAAATCCCGATTTTTTTACAAATTTTTAAACATGTGAAGAAAAGGTRCTTCGAGCAAGCAATTCTACATTATCACGTGAATTGTGGCGTCAACCCAGTATCAGTTGCTGCGAAACCCTCATGTAAACACTGTCGGTAGTAGAGTTTTTAYAGATTTTTGAGTTAAAACCGCCGAATCGATGTGTTGTTTACGGTTGTAACAACACACCAAATATCAGAGAAGTCATTGTCTTATTGTCTTATTGGTAAACTCTTTTGCCAAAATTCAGGAATTGAAWGAAATCGAGTCTTTTTTTCGCAAAAGCTATTAGAAACTTCCCTAATTTTAGAAGAAGAAAAAAATRACATTTATGAGGGGTTAGGTGCGCTTTAAGTTTGTCTTTGGTCAGACAAATTCCTCTTGTTTCATATTCTTATTTTATAAGCTAAAAGTGTAACTTATATGAAGCTGAGTTAAAATGAAGATTTTCCTTTAAAATATAAATATTGTTCATCAGTAAAAATTTACTCACATAAAGCTTCAAAAACCTTGCTCCAGGCTTTGATACAAGATAGTTCCGGACATCTGCTCCTGCCCAATTAAAAACCTCGCATAGGTAGCCAGACCCATTCAAAGGAATGACATTCTTTGAGAGGCAATTTTTCTTTTCAAAAAGCGCTTGAAGTAGCAGTCATCACCGTGGTCTACTGTGTACTTTGAAAGAAGGCTTTCATCTTTTACTAAAGCGTTTCCATTTGAGCTTTCAAAGGCATTGTAATAGCCAAATTGATCTTGTTTGTGRATTTGTGAGGTAATCACAGATGCTGAAAACGCTAAAACTAAAACATGAAGAACTTCCTTGCAGAGCATGACTCGCACAGTAGTCGTTTTCGCCGAAGAATTGAAAGATTTGAAAGATTAATGAAAAGAGATTGATAAATATTATAGGTAATGGTCCGAGTAGGAAGCAGGAAAGCAAACGGCAATGGAATGCATGAAGGTGCTAATTGTGTATTGTATAATCCGTCCATCTCATTGGTTAAAACATTAAAATCTGACATAATTTCAAAAGTAATCGCATTTTTTAATATTTTATCTAATATCTGATTCTAACTTCATAAAAGCTTTCCTTATCTTTAGTATTGATAGCAATTCTATGAGGGGAACATAGCAAATTAGAAGCATCTTTTGGATATTGTTTTGAGTCAAAACAGAGTTTATCCACATTTTATTTTAAAAATGTGTTACCCATAGGTTGATATATAATCAGTGTGAAAACCAATACACTCGTATGTGGGGAAGTTGCAATTGCCGCAGAACAATAGAAGGTTGCCTGCTTTTTGCGCGCATTGTTACTTAATTTTTTTAAGTTAGTTTTTATTCCTTTTTATTATAACGAAAAAGGATTCAAGAAGCATCCATTTTTGATGAAACTATAAGGAGCTAATAGGCATAAACGTAACAGGAGTATATACATCCTACCAAAAGTGCAATCAGTTAAGAAGCAACTTTTAGTCTGTGATTCTGAAACGGTGTTATTTTGAGTTTTTTGTACTTTGCTCCTTAATAAACACCTTGAACACCACAAAAATGGACTCTTCTTTTAATGATTAATTAGGAAGATTTAATTTAGCCCTCGTTTTTCCTTAATTTTGACGCAAGCAGTTGTAGATTAGACCTGTATTAGAGGGACGTTAAAGAACCCACACCACTGTTCGCATAAGAGTAGGGAATGATTCCCGGTGTGTGTGGCTAGGCCTTACTACTAACCCATACTTATTACTAACCCCTCATGATTGTAAGCTGCGTGGCTGCCAATTGCGCCTTAAACAGCGGTCCGTGTGAAATGATCTATACATGTGAAGCGCCTTTGAACTCAGAGGATATCGGCGCTATATAAATACCACATATTATYATTATTATAGATTGTAACTGAAAAATAATCGATGTTTTATTCGTTGCATATGTTGTCCTCAATGTGATCAATGTTGATGTGTCCCCAGTGAATYGTCGAGGTATCAACTATTCGTAACTGCGCCGTTTGACTTCGATAACTCGTCACATCAAAGTCCTTTTCTGTCATAGTCTCGTTATCACCACCCGTTGCCTTGTCAACGACAGATCCTYYAATTAAAAGTTCAATACGTTCCGTGTTTATGTCACCACCTCCRCCAATGAGAAACTTGAGTTTTGTTCCTTTTATGGTAAAGTTTGGTGACGTAATTGTACCTATAGGGCCGTCACCCTGAATACCACCCACTGGATGAGAAGGACTGGGTCTATTTTCATATCCTCCTATCCACCAGTCCCCTTTATGGTTTGACGTTTCTCGTCCTCTTCCCTTTGGATTATCTCCGTAGGTTGGCTGGTTGTTGAATGCTGTACCTGTTTGGGTCCAGCCGTCGAGTCGTCCAGTTTCAAAGTCAAAGAGAACGCATTCTAGAGAATGATGAGAGAGGGAAAAGCAAACGTTTTATTTTTTTTACTGAAGAAAAGGATGTGATGATGCTAGGAAAACAKCTGCTACACTAGTAGGGATAATGTAATTTTCAGGAAAATTTCAACGAAAATGTTTATCCTTCACGAGTTTGTAAGTTTTCTTGTGATTGGAGGAATAAAACAATGCTCATTGTTTCCTCGTTCTTAAATCATATCCTATCCTTTTATTTACAAATAGTAAATAGTTAATCAACCGGATAAGATCTTGTAAATCCCGTGAAGGCCTACCCAAATTTTTTGTTTGTTTGCTACTTGCTTGTTTTTAGCTTGGCTAAGTTTTATTTTTTTATTTTATTTTATTTTTTTCTAGAAATTTTAAAAGGATATGGAAATCATTTTTTCATTGACGTTAGTTCTTATGTCGTTCAAGATAAATCGGCGATTGATTGAGGTCTTCTTCAGTGGCTCAAAACATGCCGTGGTTCGAGAAGAGGCTTGTCTTTTTAGTATTCTTTTGCTTATTATGTTGTGTCGAGCCGGGGCGAGACGTTTC